CTTTCCTTTATAAATTACCCCAGTCTCAGGTATTACTTTATGGCAGTGTGGGAACAAACTAATACACTGCTTATCATGGTACAATCCTGTGGTCCTAGGTACTCAGAAGGCTGAGGCAAGAAAATCATTTGAACCCAGGGGTTTGAGGCTACAGTAAGCTATGATTATACCATAGCACTCCAGACTGGGCAACACAGCAACACCCTGTTTCTCCAAAAAAAAAAAAAAAAAAAAGAGAGAGAGAGAGACAAATAAAAATTAACTATATAATCACAACCAAAGGTAGTTTAGGCCAGAAATATGATGTTAGTTTAATATTTGAAAATCAACCTATGTACTTTGCCAATTAACAAGCACCTCAAATAGATGTAGTAAAAGTATGTTAAAAAAAAAAAAAAAGTCAACGTCCATTCAGCAATAAAAACTATTAGCAAAGTAGAGTTAGAATAAGACTTCTTCTACTTAATAAAGGGCATCTATTTTTAAAAACATATAGCTAATATCATATTTAATGGTGAAAGACTGAATTTTTTCCCTTCTACATGTGGGAACAAGGATATAAAAGTCAATACACAAAAACAAATTATATTTCTATATACTAGTTTTAAAAATGAAAAATACAATTTAAAACAAATCAGGCTGGGCATGGTGGCTTCACCTGTAATCCCAATACTTTGAGAGGCTGAGGTGGGAGGATCACTTGAGGCCAGGAGTCTGAGAACAGCCTAGGCAACACAGTGAGACTTTGTCTCCGTAAAAAAAATTGTTTATATTAGCCAGGCACAGTGGCACATGCCTATAGTCTTAGATATTTGGGAGGCTGACGTGAGAGGACCACCTGAGCTCACAAGTTGGAGGTTATATAGCGAGCTATGATTGCACTACTGTACTTCAGCCTGAGCAACAGAATGAGACCGCATCTCTCCCCAAAAATGAATAAGATAAATCATTTACAAAGTGTACAAAATATACAATACTTTTGGATAAATTAACAAAATATGTGCACAACCTATATATACAAGAGACAAAGGCTTCTATGGGATACTTTACTTCTAAGCCAAGTGGCTCCCTGACACACCAATTTGATTTTATAACCTCATTTGGAGGACTTAAGAATAGCCCTTGGATGGCTGTGAGGACTCCTGATGAATAGAAACACCTTATACTGTTCTATTAGCATGCTGGGTTTCCTATCCTCTATCCTATAAGTGAAGCCAGTTTCCAGAGATGGTTTACTGTGGAGCTTCATTACCTAGTTAGCTAGGTATCACTACTGGTGGTCAAGCAGAGTCAGTACTGCAGTCATCTTCAGCAAGCAATCAAAGGACTATTTCTGTCCTGTTTCATTTCACAGGGAAAAGAAAGAACTGAAGCAAATATGGCAAAATGTTAAGTGACAAATCTGAATGGGAAATATATACTCAAGGTACACACAGTGTTCCTTTTATAGTCTGCAAATTCTATATTTTTGAAAGATGGCATATATAAGTCACATATATAGGGGCTAACTCTCTCAAGTTTCCTATTTTCAGTAAAAATTCTGAAGTTCTAAAATATACCACCATTGGTCGGGCATGGTGGCTCATGCCTGTAATCCCAGCACTTTGGGAGGCTGAGGTGCGTGGATTATCTGAGGTCAGGAGTTCAAGACCAGCCTGGCCAACATGGTGAAACCCTGTCTCTACTAAAAATATAAAAATTAGCCAGGTGTGGTGACCTATGCCTGTAATTCCAGCTTTTTGGGAGGCTGAAGCAGGACAACTGCTTGAATCCAGGAGGTGGAGGCTGCGGTGAACCAAGATCGCACCACTGTACTCTAGCCTGGGGCAACAGCGTGCAACTTCGTCTCAATAAAAAAGTAACTAAATAAAATAAAATATACCACCATCATTAAAATATTTTTATTCTAAAAAAAATTTTTTTGAGAATAGCACATTAAATAAAACCACGTACAATAATTGCAGCCAAACACAAATCATGTACCTTACTCCAGTGACAAGTTCTTACAACCTTTATTTTATAAATTAACAAAGCTGAATCAAGATCAGAATCAGAGTAAGAATAAAAAGTAATCAGAGTAAGATGATAATCATAGCAAGAGAAATTAGAGGTGTTACTTACGATAAAAGAAAGGGACGAATTCCACTGTGAGAGAAGCTGGTTTATATTTCTGTCTGCTCTTTTCCACAGTACTAAGGCTTCGTCTATCATTAAAAAGAAGTCAATAATAAATTACAACATGGGCAAGCAGACATGGCACAATTACAAAAACAATTATAAAACAAATTTAATATTTTACTTTTGATTTGTGTCTTGAACCATGTATCTCTAGGATTTGCATAATCTTGAAAAGAAGTCTAGCAAATAACTGAACTGTCCATCAATTAAAAGATTTATTTTTTTGAATTATGCAACATGGTAGCTAGGTTAAATCTCCAAATAACTGTAAAATGAACAAGAAGCCAGCCCTTAAAATTTCCAATCTGTACAAGAATTTGTTCGGCAGTAACGCTAAACTGACAGCTCAGACTAGTAGAATATTTTTATCAGAAATCCAGGCTACTCTGCCACTTTCTGAAACTTTATAATAATGAATAATGAGGCCATATATTAGCTTCTTTCATCTTGAGGATACAGATCCAGTATGGGCTGGGATTATTTCTGTTTTTTAATGACAATTTCAGTAGTTTTGATGGATATTATGTTTTCTACAGGCTTTGATAAAGCCAATATAAATTGCCCGTGTTTTTAACAAGAACATTTCAATTCAATACAAAATGAATCTTTTAGATGGGCATAGTGGTGTGGAGATTGGAGAATAAAGTGTAGTATTATGATGATACTTCCAACTAGTAGATGGTAAATTTTTTAAAATCACAGATATTTTTTCATTCCCTAAAAAAGCATTTAAAATTACTAAAGCCAACAAAAATAGAAAATATTTAAAGGACAGCCACATAGAAATTCTGTACATCTAAATATGATCAACTGATAAAGCACTGGTCTAAGATGCTTTCTTCTTAATGCATAATTGAGCTATTGAAATTACTTTCCTTATAATTATTTCAAACCTGAGAAGAAATTTCAACTCATCATAGAATAAACCATATAGGATAAGCATAGCTGGACTCAGTGATAGCAAAATAAAGAGTTCAAAGATCCAGATCTACTATCCAAATTCATTAGAAATCATATTAGACCTCATTTGCTACTGCACTGCTTTCCAAATCTATGCCTATTTCCAGTGTGTAGAAGGCAGAACCCAGCTGTATTTATTTTAATTTCAAACATAACATGTTAGAACATTAATAGATCTTCCTATCTAATTAAGACCATTATCAAAGATTTTCATGTTTTTGTAACAATACAAAATTCACTGGAGTTTCAAATAAAAAATTCAATCATGTGGTAAAAAAATTAATTTTAAAAGGATAAAATTTAATTCAGCTTTCAGTTAGGTTTTTCCATGGGATTATTATCATTTTGTGCATCCATTATAAATTATGGTCTTAACTAAGACCATAATTTAGTTAGATTGCTTATATCCTATCCAGACAACCTATGCTACAAACAATAAACATCCTCACCTGATTAACATAATACAAATGTACTTCTACAATTTGTGATCAATGACTCATTCTAAAGTTCCTGTATTAGATGTAACATATGCACATAATTTCCAATATATTTGTGGTAAAAATTTAATATGCTAACATAAACAAAAGGGGTGAGAACTATTACACACATTAGAACACAAAAATTAAAGCACAAGCAGTTTGTACTGCATGTTTTCAATAAGTTAGTAGAGCTAAAAACGAACCTTAGTCTTATACCATTTGTAGAATGTAGCACAGTTAATTGCTCCATTATTATTTGATATTTGGGCCAAGCATCTAGCATTTAGCAGATGGTAATACCTATCAACTGGTTGTCTGAGAGGGCTGTAAAACACTTATTTGCATCTCAGTTTTCTAAGTTTATGTCCTTGGTTGATTTAACCATGTTGCTGCTGCTGTTTGTTTTTTTTTTTTGAGATGTAGTCTCGCTCTGTCACCCAGGCTGGAGTGCAGTGGCGTAACCTCAGCTCACTACAAGCTCCGCCTCCCAGGTTCACGCCATTCTCCTGCCTCAGCCTCCTGAGTAGCTGAGAGTACAGGCGCCTGCCACCAGACCTGGCTAATTTTTTTGTATTTTTAGTAGAGACGGGGTTTCACTGTGTTAGCCAGGATGGTCTCGATCTCCTGACCTCGTGATCCACCCGCCTTGGCCTCTCAAAGTGCTGGGATTACAGGCGTGAGTCACGGCGCCCGGCCACCATGCTTCTTTTTTGTACTCACATCATACCTAGGACATAATCATTATTCTTAATTTTATTTGGAAAAAATTCAAGTTTTGGCAAAAGTTGCAACAATAAGAATAGATCAAAGAACATCAAATAGAGTTTACCCAAGTTCACTGTTAACACTTTTTCCCGAATTTTTTTTTTTCTTTTAGAGACAGGGTCTTGCTCTATTGCCCAGACTGGAGTGAAGTGGTGCTATCCTAGTTCACTGTAACCTCTAACTCCTGGGCTCAAGCCATCTTCCCATCTCAGCCTCCTGCAAAGCTAGGACCACAGGTGCAAGCCACCATACGCAGTTAATTTTTTTTTATTTTTTGTGAGGATGGGGTCCTCCTATGTTTCCCAGGTTGGTCTCTAACTCCTGGGTTTAAGTGATCCTCCTACCTCAGCCTCCCAAAGTGTCCCACAGGCATAAGCCACTGTGCCCGGACTCATTATATAGAGAAAATCACATATATCATGGTCCTTCATCTCTTAATATTGTAGTGAATATTTACTAATAGGGATATAGTCTTATATAACACCATAGTATAGTTATAAACTTCAATAAATTTAACACTGATACAACACTTTTATGTAATCTACCAACCATATTCCAGTTTTGTCAATTCACCCACTAACATCCTTTGTAGCATTTCCCTCTTCCAATACAGCTTCCAGGCCAGGGTGAGGTATTGCATTTAGTGTCTCTTTAGCCTCTTTTAATCTAAAACATTTCCAGAATCCCTCTTTGTGATATTTTTAAAGAAAGTTGTCCTCCAGCCTTCCTTTTTTTAAAAATTAGAATGTTCTTCACTTGGGGTTTGCTTGTTTTCTCACAATTAGATTCAGACTATGCATGCTTGGCTGGAATAACACATAAGCAATGACGTGTTCTTCTCAGGGTTATCACATGTGGAGGACATGATACCCATCTACTTCTTACTGATAATCAGTTAATTTTGATCATCCAACCAACTGGATTATTTGGTCCAGTACTGTCCAAAATAATTACTAATTTTTCAATTACAAGTAATAAGTAATTGTGGGGAGACATTTTAAAACCACACACATGGCCGCGTGCAGTGGCTCACACCTATAATCCTAGCACTTTGGGAGGCTGACGCAGGCGGATCACCTGAGGTCAGGAGTTCAAGACCTGTCTGGCCAATATGGTGAAACCCTGTCTTGACTAAAAATAAAAAATTAGCCAGGCGTGGTGGTGCACGCCTGTAATCCCAGCTGCTTGGGAGGCTGAGGCAGGAGAATTGTTTGAACCTGTGAGGCAGAGGTTGCAGTGAGCTGAGATCACGGTACTGCACTTCAGCCTGGGCGACAGAGCAAGACTCCACCTCAAAAAAACAAACAAACAAACAAAAAACATACACATATCATGCTCCCAACCAAAACTTCCCCCTAGGTTTAACATCCATGAATGATTCTTGCCTGATCCAATCTTACTATGATGTGTCCAAAATGTGTTTTTTTCCCCCAACTCCAGCATCCCCTCTATATTTACTAATTGGCACTTGGAATTTTACTGTAAGCAACACCCTTCACTTCTCCCTTATCTATCACTGGTATGAACTCATAAATTTTCTTCCTGAATGGTTACATAATTTATTACTGTAATTATTTTGTACATATATTGTCCCAGATTTGACAAGTAGGAGGCACAGGGCATATCTTAACATAATTCTTTTTCTCTTGGCAAGGCAAGGAATCCTACTAAACTTGCACTAGTCACAAAGTAGGAACTCAGTAAGTATATTTTTGAACAAATGTTTAAATGAATGAACAAGTCACATTGAAGGAAGATTTCTTTTTCTCTTTTCTCTTCTTCTTCTTTCTTCTTCTCCTTCTTCTTCTTCCTCTTTCTTCTTCTCTCTCTCTCCTCCTTCTTCTTCTTCCTCTTTCTTCTTCTCTCTCTCTTCTCCTTCCTTCCCTCCCTCCCTCTTTCCTTTCCTTCCTTTTTCCACTCCTTTCTCTTCTACTCTCCTTTTCTCCATCCCTCCTTTCCTTCCTCCCTCCCTCCCCTTTCTCTCTTTCAGGTTTTGCTGTCACCCAGGTTGGAATGCAATAGTGTGATCATAGCTCACTGCAGGCTTCAACTCCTGGGCTCAGTGATCCTCTCACCTCAGCCTCCCAAGTACTTGGAACTACAGGCACATATCACCACACCCAGCTAATTTTTTTTTTCTTTTTTTTCTAGATGGGGTCTTATACTCCTGGCCTCAACCAATCCTCCTGCCTTGGCCTCCTAAAGTGCTGGGATTACAGGTGTGAGCCACCATGCCTGGCTGATTTATTTCCCTATACTTATTTTAGTTCCACTTGAGGAAATCTTTCCAACTTTGAGATTCTGTAAGTAGAATCAAAATTGAGATAACAGATTAATCAAATCTACAAAAAGCATCTATTTGTTTTCATCAAATAAGAAAAGAAATAGTTTTAAATGGCTCTGTATTTGGAATTATGTTAATTTTAATTAAATCTATTCTAACCTGCTTTAGCTATTTTGGTAAGCAATAAACAAACAATGAATAAGAAAATATATATCTTCTTAATTTCCACTTAATTTCAGAATCAGACTAATAAATAAGGTGTAAATTATTGCTGTAGATTCCTTTCTATAAGTCTTCCATAAGCAATGGATTTCTCCTAATTCCATTTTTTAATCTCCCTGTCAAAGTCAAAGAAACCCGAGTCTGAATTCCCTGCTTTATCATTTATCTTTGAAGCAGTTCTTACATTACTGGCAAGATTGCTGTGCATATTAGAGATAATACATACACAGCTTCTAATGTAATTCCTGGCAAATATATGCATGCATTCGTTAAATGCTGCTACTCATCCTCTACTTTGCCCCCCTTTCTGTTGCCATCTTACATAAGCAGAATTATCTTCCTATATTATGTTAATAGCATATAAAATTTTCTTCTTTTTGGGTCTCTGGGCTGTGCTCCTAGCTCGGGCTCCCTCTCCTCAGCTCTGAGAGGCCTTAGGTGGTTCTGTGGCAGCCTCTGTTGCCTGTGACCTGCAGGCCCTGCAAGATCCCCAGGCAAGATGCCGGAGCATGCTGGAAGCTGGAATGTGGACTCAGTGACTTTTGAGGATGTGGCTGTGACCTTCACCCAGAAGGAGTGGGCGTTGCTGGATTTTTCCCAGAAGAAACTCTTATAGAGATGTGACACAGGAAACCTTCAGGAATTTGGCTTCTACAGGAAACAAATGGGAAGACCAGAATGTTGACGATCCAGTCAGAAAATATGGGAGAAATGTAAGTCATATGGTAGAGAGACTGTGTGAAGGTAAACAAAAGAGTCAATGTGGAGATACCTTCAGCCAGAATTCAAATCTTAATCTGAACAAGAAAGTTTCTACTGAAGTAAAATCATGTGTATGCAGAATGTGTGGAAAAGTCTTCATATGTCATACATCTCTACATAGGTATATTGTGTCTCACAGGTATATTGTATCTCACTCTGGACACAAACTATTTGAGTGTGAGGACTGTGAAATGAAGCCATATAAATGTAAACAATGTGGGAAAGCCTTTCTCTCACAGGTGTTTGAAGACACATGGTAATGCACAGTGATAATGGATTTTATAAATGTACAGTATGTGGGGAAAACTTTATTTTCCCCAGTTTATTTAAAATGCACCAGAAAACTCACACTGGAGAAAAAAAATCCTATAAATGTAAACATTGTGGTAAAGACTTCAATTATTCCAGAAACGTCACGAACATGAAAGAACTCATAGAGGAGAGAAACCCTATACAAGCAAGAAATGTGATAAATTATTAACTTCTTCCTATGTCCTTCAACAACATGAAATGATTCATACTGGAGAGAAACCTATAGATGCAGAGAATGTGGTAAAGCCTTTACAACTTCCAGTTTCCTTCGTAAGCATACAAAGGCTCACAGTGGAGGAAAAAAGCCTTGGGAATGTCAAAAATGTGGTAAATCACTCACACTTTCCAGTTCCCTTTGATGACATGAAAGAACTCAAACTGAAGAGAAACCCTTGGATATAAGTAAAGTGGTAAAGCCTTCACTTCTCCCAGATCCTTTCAACAGCATGAAAGAAGTCATATTGGAAAAAAACCATGTGAATGGAAGAAATGTGGTAAAGACTTCAGATGTTCTAGTTCTATTAGAACAAATGAAAAAACACATAGTGGGATTGTGAGGAATACTGGAAAACATGCAATTTTCCCAGTTCCCTTTGAAAACTAAGAAAAACTCATACTGGGGGAAAAATGAATGTAAAATAACTGGCAAAGTCCTCAGTTTTCCCAGTTTCTTTCAAGGACATAAAAGGGTTCCCAATAGAGAAAAACCCTATAATTCTTAGAAATGTGGCAAAGCCTTCAGTTCTTCCATTTTTCTTTGAAATATGTAAGAAGTCAGTGGAGATAAGCCTTATAAATTTAAATGTGTGGTAATTTCTTTAGTTCATAAGTTTCATTTGATACTTGAACTCATTTTTTAAAAATTCCTATAAATGTACAGAGTGTGAGAGTACCTTCATTTGTCTAATTGTCTAACACATGTTCAAGACACATGGTAACAAACTGTAGATGGACCTTATAAATGTGAGAGGACTCTGGATTGGAAGCACAGCAGTGTAGAAAATACAGAAATGTTTTTAAATTTAACAATTACTTCAAAAGTTTTGTAAAACTCTCACTAGGAAGAAATCCTATAAAAGTTGGTAAACTGGAAAGCCTGATGTAAATTAATGCTCAGAAATGCACATAAGTGGAATGTTATTCTCATTGTAAATATTTTGCTTATCAGTGGTTCATTGCTAAAGAGGGTCTCTGTACTTTTGATTTCTACTTCTGCAAGAAAACCTCAATGTGAAAATTCTGTAGATACTCTTTCAGCAATGCTACATGAGTTTAATAGGTAGTGGATTTTAAAAAAATTAAATTAGTAAAATTCTTCTCTCTTAAGTGTGTTGGATCTCTGGGTAAATTAAAATGTATTCCTATATGAAGGTAAGGTAATTTTAATTTTTATGTAATTTTTAAAGTTCTCTGATTAATGGGCCATTGAAAAATGTGGTTTCGTTAACATTTGGAATTTTCTCACTGGCCTCATCTGGCAAGTTTTGGTTATCTGTATATGTTTTCTACATTATATAGGAAAATTACTCTTTTTTGGTGTAATAATATTTGTTGTATTTTCCTTTTTAATAAAGAGTTGTTATCAAAAAATTTTTCTTCTTTTTGACTCTCAAAAACTGTTTTTAGCTACCAATTTTATCTAATTTGTTATCAAAACTACCTTTAATAAATCTTCTCTCCCCATCTTTATATTCATTTTGCTTTTATTAAAGATTCCTTTAAAAGCCTCTCTTCTGCCATTTTCAGACTGGTTTTATGTTCCTCTTTCTGTATCTGTCTTGCTGTCTATAAAGAAAAGTTATGCCATTGTTTCAAAACTTAAAATATGTTCCCTTAGATTTGCCATTGCTGAAAAGTCTAAGGCGGAGGATGGAGAAGTAGCAAGAGTAGGAGGAAGAGGAGGAAGAGATACACTTTCCTTAGAGAAATCTCTGGCATACATGTCAAAATGCGGGAACGCTGATTAGTTAGAACCAAAGTGCTAATGAATATAAAGACTACAGATGAAGCACTGTTAAGTGTCTCTTTGTATCTTTTTTTAAAAAGACAGGTCTCTATAGCTAACTGAAGCCTTGAACTCTTAGGCTCAAGCAGTCCTCCCACCTCAGCAACCCCAGTAGCTGGGACAACAGGCATGAGCCACCACATCCGACTCCCTTTTTGTACTTTGAAAGACTCATAAGCAGGGCATAAGCAGAGATAAAAAGTAGTCACGGCACTAATTGCCAACTATTTCTACCCCTTCTAGTCACATAGTAGATTTTAACTTGGCCCCACTGTAGTAGACAGGGACAGACGGGGACATGTAATCACAGTTCTGGCCAATGAGTTCAGAATGAAAATGACATGTGTCATGTAGCATGACCAGACAAGACAAGAACATTAAATTGCCAATTTGACACCTTTCAAAACTTTTTCTCTCACACTTGGTGACTACAAAGGCTAAAATGCTGGCTGCTCTGTTAGCCTGGGACCTTTAGTGACTATGATGAGTAGAGGCTCTCTGCTTACCCACAATAGACAGACAACATGAAAAAGAAGTAAATCTTTTGTTATTCTAATTCCCTTGTTTGTTACTGATGCATAATTTATTCCTCCTGTCTAACTGAAATTTTGTATCTTTAACCAACATTTTCCCAATCTCCAACTCCCAGGATGTATTCTGATTTCAATAAAATATTATATCACTATATAGAACATACAAAAAGTGCTACCACATAGTATATACAAATGTTCTCTTGGTTATCAATTCTTCACCATCATCTAATGGTATGGGGGCTATACTACCCTGGAAACCCTGAAAAATCTATAAAAATAATTTAGTAATGAAATTTCGCAATCAAGTTGCAGGAAGTAGAAATTATTTACAAATTGGTCAGGCTAAGTTGAAAATGAAAATGGAAATCTTGAGGAGATTTGGGAGATTTAAAAAAGAGGTCTGATTGAGAGTGATGATACAATTCTTTGTAATCTGTGCCCACAGGTAAGAACAGTATGTGACTTTAAAATTCTTCTCTTTGAGCTCCGTACTGGTAATTAAGCTATTGTCACCAAGCTACCAACCCACTCTTCTATATTCTCTCTGCTTTGTGATGCTGGGACAGGCATCATGCAAACTTTCTTTTTCCAGCTGCCTCCCTTTTGGGCTCCCTAATAGAGGGTACTAGATGAAGCGTGGAAGAAAGAGAGCAAGGATTGGTTCACAATGCTCTTTTTCTGTATACTCATCAGCATCACACCAGCAAGAATTCTTAATTGTAGCAACGGCAGTTGGTTCCTGTCTTCAGCTTATTTTTGGCAATCCCAGGAGCCTCTTGACCGCTCAAGAGATATCAGCACCAGCTATGCAATGCTCCTTCCTCAGAGGTCTGAACCACAGTGCTGTAGGGCATCTTCTCCAAAGTCTAGGTTCTGATAACTTCATTCTCTTCCCTTTGTTCCCATGACTGCAGGGAAAGCAGCTGTTTCCTAAAGTTAATGTCCTACCTTTGCTTTGTCAATTCTCTAATTTGTTTATCAATTTCCTTGTATTAGATCCTCTCTTTTAAAATATCTAGTTTGAGGAGGCTAGGTGCAGTGGTTCATGGGTATAATCCCAGTACTTTGGGAGGCTAAGGTGGGAGGACTACTTGAGCCTAGGAATTCAAGACTAGTCTGGGCAACATAGTGAGATCTCATGTCTAAAAATAAAAATAAAAATATTTAGTGTGGTTTCTGTTTTCCTTATGGGATCCTGATGACATAAACTCTAC